CCCAAATCCCTAGATCCCCAAATCCCCGAGTATTCCTAAATCCTAATATTCCTAGATCCCTAGATTCCAATATCCCTAAATCCAAAATATCCCCAAATCCAAAATATTCCTAGATCCCAACATCTGCACATTCCCTAACTTATACATCCCAATATCCCTAGATCGGTAAATCCTAATATCTCCCTAAACAGAAAACAGAAAATGGCGTTTCTGTTTAGAGCGTCAATCTAAAAATGTAATTAACAGGATAATGAAAATGTTCTTCGAAGGAGTTGATTAGTTACAAGAGAACGGACCGGCGCGAAAAAATATGGAAGTTTTTCACCGCTCCCTTCGGCAACGTCTGTTCAACGTGACGGAAAATCGGCACGGAAAACGAAAGGGAAAGGGTGCGTTTCCTAGGGAGGTAATATGGGTCTGGTGGTAAGAAGTGAAAGGGAAACGACGTGCCCAGGGACACGTGGACTTCCGATTGTTTTCACTTTTCGAGAAGCAAGGGTGACCGAACTGGGGCAAACGAGTATCGATCTGTCAGCGTCGATGATCGTCCGGTATAAATGAAAAATAATGACGCTCGAAAGCGTGTACGTTATTGTGTCCGTATCGAACTCGAATCGAACTTTTCTGTGATACGTCGAGTTTCTGAAGTTTGCAACGAAAATCCCCGAGCGTAAATATCGCGTCTTCGTAATCGAATAAGAACTTGTAAAATCCCAGAAAACTCTGGCATCCATCAACCCGAGCAAATAAGAACTTTCGGAAAAGTCCGGAAATTGCTTAGCCGAGTTAACCTGACCTCGTCAACAACTGCAAGTTCCACAAATCTCCGATTCCGAGCATCGAAAAGTTCGAGGAAGTTAAAGCTTAGTATATTTTCGTCGATAAAGGAGCAACGGAGTCGATAGTTTTTGATTTCTCGTAGTCACGGTCGTGCAAGAACACCGTGTATAACGCGGCAAGAAGCCGAGAACAGTCGAGCGAGTCTCGTGGTCGTGGAACAGTGACCCCCTGGACCAGAGATACAGTTATTGCGTTTACTCTCCTCTGTGCCGGTGCACCTACCAGCTCGAACACGCGAGCGTGTACAGGAACACGCGCACACGGACACACGAGCTCGTTGCACTCGATCGCCGTCCGTACATTGCACCGCTTCAGCTAGCGATCTTCTCCGCTTCGAGTCCGACTCGTTCTACTCGTACAATCAACGGCGAATCTGGTTTCTCTACGAAATATGTGACAACCGAACGGAAATGTCTGTGGTCTTGGTTATTTTTGCATAGTTTTTCGCTGATATGGATAGGTTTATTGGATGGTTGGGAGGGAATATTATTTGAATAGGAATGGGAGGATGTAGGGAGAGACGTGGGTTGTGATCTTTGATTTTTGGGGAGGTGGGGAATTTGGAAGTTTGGGAGAGTGGATATTGGAGCATGGGTGTGGAATTTTATGTTAGTGGATTGTTGTACTTATGGGTTTCTACGTTGCTAGATGACTACACTTCTAGATTCCTTTACTCCTAGTTCCCTGCACTCCTAGGTCCCCACATTCTTAGGTCCCTACACTTCTAGGTCCCCACACTCCTAGATCCCCACATTCCCAAATCCCAACACTCCTAGGTCACCACATTCCTAGATCCCTACACTCCTAGGCCCCACATTTCGAGATCCCTACACTCTCAAATCCCAACACTCCTAGCTCCTCACATTCCTAAGTCTCCACACTCCTAGGTCCCAACACTCCTAGGTCCCCACACTCCTAGGTCCCCACATTCTTAGGTTTCTACACTCGGAGGTCCCTACACTCCTAGGTCCCCACACTCCTAGGTCCCCACACTCCTAGATCTCCACATTCTTAGGTTTCTACACTTTAAAGTCCCTACACTCCTAGGTCCTCATATTCTTAGATTCCTACACTTTGAGGTTCCTACACTCATAGGTCCCCACACTCCTAGATCTCGACATTCTTAGTTTTCTACACTCTGAGGTCCCTACACTCCTAGGTCCCCACATTCTTAGGTTTCTACGCTCTGAGGACCCTACACTACTAGGTCCCCACATTCTTAGGTTCCGACGCTCTGAGGACCCTACACTCCTAGGTCCCCACACTCCTAGGTCCCCACACTCCTAGATCCCTACATTCCTAGATACCTATATTCCTACAACCTTGTGATTCCACATCCCTGTCTTCCCATAGTCTTCAATATCGATATAATGTAATCCCTATATTCCTACATATTGCATCTTTCAAATGTGCATTTTTCAATATCTCCAAATTCGCACATTCAATGTCCCCAAATTCCTAAATTTATATTTTCAAATTCTCAATTTGCATTTTTCAATATCTCCAAATTCACTCATTCAATGTCCCTAAATTCTTAAATTTATATTTTGAAATTCTCAAGTATCAAATTCACATTCAATTCTTTCACACAAGTTGTCGAGTGTTAAAGAATTGTTCAAGAATGTTGAGAGCAGATCGAAGCCATCGCTAGTTCGATCACGATCGGGCGATCTTTCTGGTTTGGTTCGCGAAGAAAAGCAAGAAACGAGCCGATGCGCGCGCGCGTTCACGCGTCGTCGCCGAAAAATTACGACGCTTTGTTTTGAGCGTCCCTGTTTCTGTGCACTGCGGACAGGCTTCTTTTCTCGTCTGTTTTTGACCAAATACACAGCGTCCTCCTTTTTAATTCTCTTTCTCCTTCGGCGACACGGTCTCTGTTATATAATTTATAAAGTAATCGACCAACGATTAAAAGCGTTTAAAAGTTTTATGAGAGCCTGAAATTTGTCCACCTCGCTATAATTTAATTTTGATTCAAAATGCAAACAATTATATTAGCTTATGGAGACTGACGTTTCCGAAGAACCGCGGAGGAATAATTAATTGAATTGGTTTAATGAAGTTTCACGAAATCTTGGTTTCGCTCAAATCGAAATGAGAATTCTACTTTTTCCGTGTGAGCGGTCGGTGACTCATTTAGCAGGAGAAAAGCGTCTGAAACGTAACGTTACAAAGTGACCCGATTTACAGTTTTATTTCGAGCTTGTCGAATTTAGAAACGACCGTGTTTTCTTTGTCTTGTTAACTGGAATCGATAAATACATTAATATTCGAATCGTTATACTGCTTTTACCAAATATAAAATTTAGGTGCTAGATTTAGGGATTTAAGGATGTAAAACTCTACAAACATAAAAAACCAGAGCTATAAAATTTATAGTAGGTAGAAGTCTAGGGAATTTAGAGATTAAGGTACCTGAAGTTCCACAAATTCCATTTCTACAGTTTAAACATAAAATTCTCAAAAAAATAATTGCACGAAACCTTCAAATTTGCAGATCTATCAAATTAAAAATTAAATTTCCCTTTAAAAATACAATGTCGCATCTTTATACATCCTTGCCTGCTAAGGTTAGGATTCGATCGTTCGCGTGAACTCGCGCGAACGATTTCGCTTTTGCTTTCCGAGCGGCTCGTTTTCCAACCACCGAGGGGTAACCTTCCCCTGGCTGTCTTCTTCCTCGTTTTTTTTTTTCGCTTCCCCACGGTTTACCCCGGAATAATGACCCAATAATACAGCTGACCGGGATTTACGTTCACGGTCCGTGAACTGGATCCGCAACGTGCGCGTTAACGAGTTGCCGCGAACAATGGGCGACGGGGAGAAAATTGCGCGCGAAAACGCGTTCGAATAAACGTACCACTACGTTCTTCACAAACGGGACTTTATATTTTACGGGTAAGGGTACTTCGTGCCTCTGAAAAGCGAAGGTACGTTGTTCGGTCAGTGTGAAAGAAAATAAACGTTAACGAGGTAAAGTTAGATGAAGGGACACGGTGGGGTGATCACTTTCGATTTATTCAACAAGAAAAACGAGTAAAATGGTCAGAAAATTCGTGATAGGCTATGAACAACACTTTTGTGGTGCAAGGAACAATTGCTAATTTTTCAATTTTTTTATGAACAAAAAACATGCTACATGTAGTACAAGATATGTGTTATGTATCAGTAAAGAGAAAGAATGACGTATTATTACGTCAACGTATTAGTACACGAAAATCACATTGTCAACAATCATTCATAGACTCAATTTATTATTTTTACCTACAAAGTTATCAGAGTGTCTCAAAGTAATTCTCTACGGGTTGACGTAATATTACGTCACTGTATTCATACATGAAAATCACATTGTCAATAATCACTCATAGGTTTAACTTATTACTTTTCCCTACAAAGCCATCAGAGTGTCTCAAAGTAATGTTCTATGAGTTCACGTAATATTACGTCATCGTACTAATACATGAAAATCGTATTGTCAACAATCACTCATAGCTTTCATTTACTATTGTTCCGTACAAAGACATAAGAGTGTCTCAAAGTAATGTTCTACGAGTTGACGTAATATTACGTCACTGTACTAATACATGAAAATCACACTGTTAACAATCACTCATAGCTTCAATTTCTTATTGTCCCCTACAAAGTCATCAGAGTGTCTCAAAGTAATGCTCTACAAATTGACGTAATATTACGTCACCGTATTATAAACTAGCACATGTGCACACATGTGAAAATTACATTTGCAACTTTCATCCAGCGACTCAACTTCCTATAAAGCTAACTTGGTATCATTCAAATAATATAAGATTTAGAAAACGTAATAATACGTCCGCGTATTTCCGTGCCATTCAGTTTGATCACCGACTTGTTTACCCATAAAGCCATCGCAACAAGTCCCTCATGACCATCGAATAAACGTATCACTACGTTACCCAGCAAAGATTCTTCCGTTTGCCCATTAAGGTGTTTCAACGAGCATTCGTTTTCTCGCGAGAACAACCTGTTACGCTACGTGAACGGCACTCGAACTCCCACCGGTAGAAAGAACGTAGCACTATGTCAACGGATCGCAACGTAACGTTGACAAACACGAGAACGGCACACGGTATGGTAATATCGGTTGCGACAGCCAACGATGTACGTCACCACGAACAGGGTACCTGATTTGTCCACGAGGGAACGGCCGATGGAGCGGTGCCTTTTTTAACCCACCGGGAAATTCGATTTCTGCATAAACACGTGGGCGTGCAAAGTGGGCAGCGATTACGGTGTTCAACGATGCGTCATCCTTTCCTCTCGCGGACATTTAATACCCTTTGGAACAAGTAGAATAAAGGTCCATTCCAACGCGTTTTCACACGCTGCGTTCCCATGACTTGAGAACAATCGATGCGTTCTTTACTGATTACTGAACTTACGAATTTAGAACATTTTCGAGTTGACTTGAAGATCTTTTTTGTGAAAGTTAGGTGATTGGATTTGGAAGGTTGATATACGGGGATTTGAGAATTTCGGGGTTTGGGAATGTGGGAGATTGGGAATTTGAGGACGTGAGATTTTGGAGGATTGAGTATTGGGCGATTGAGAATTTGGGGATTTGGGAATTTTGGGAGCTGAGAATTTGGGGATTTGGGAATTTTGGGAGCTGAGAATTTGGGGATTTGGGAATTTTGGGAGCTGAGAATTTGGGGATTTGGGAATTTTGGGAGCTGAGAATTTGGGGATTTGGGAATTTTGGGAGCTGAGAATTTGGGGATTTGGGAATTTTGGGAGCTGAGAATTTGTGAGGAATTGGGGATTTGGGAATTTGGGGATTTGGGAATTTGGGGATGTGAGGATTTGGGGATTTGGGAATTTGGGGATTTGGGAATTTGGGGATTTGGGAATTTGGGGATTTGGGAATTTGGGGATTTGGGAATTTGGGGATTTGGGAATTTGGGGATTTGGGAATTTGGGGATTTGGGAATTTGGGGATTTGGGAATTTGGGGATTTGGGAATTTGGGGATTTGGGAATTTGGGGATTTGGGAATTTGGGGATTTGGGAATTTGGGGATTTGGGAATTTGGGGATGTGAGGAATTTGGGGATTTGGGAATTTTGGGAGCTGAGAATTTGGGGATTTGGGAATTTGGGGATGTGAGGAATTGGGGGATGTGAGGAATTTGGGGATTTGGGAATTTGGGGATTTGGGAATTTGGGGATTTGGGAATTTGGGGATTTGGGAATTTGGGGATTTGGGAATTTGGGGATTTGGGAATTTGGGGATTTGGGAATTTGGGGATTTGGGAATTTGGGGATTTGGGGAATTTGGGGATGTGGAAATTTGGGGATGTGAGAATTTGGGGATGTGAGGAATTTGGGGATGTGAGAATTTGGGGATGTGAAAATTTGGGGATTTGAGAATTTGGGGACCTGAGAATTTGGGGGTGTGAGGAATTTGGGAACGTGAGAATTTAGAGGATTGGGTATTGGGGGATGTAAGAATTTGGGAGATTGAGAATTTGAGAGTTTGTGAGTTTGAGAGTTTGAGAGTTTGAAAGTTTGAGAGTTTGAGAACTTATGAAATTGCAAGTTCAAGTGTTTAAGGAATAAAAATTTTGAAAACTTGATCTCATAAAAACCTTGCCAATGAACAATTTAAAGATTTGAGACCATCTAGTGGGATATCACTTATTCACCGATTACAGAAAAAGAAATGAGTAAGCATAAAAATCATATTGAAATTGTTCTCCTTTTTTACAATAACAAAGAAGCTGAACTGGCGACTGATAAGGACGTTATCGCGGTTGAAAGCGAGCCACATCAAACAAAGCAAGCCTGGCCAAGTATTCTTAGCTTCTACAAAAAAAAAAGGAAGCCAAAGTTACGAGTGTCATTGCGAATAAATCGTAACAGTTAGACTCATATTTTTTCCTCGCGTCGTGATTCTTTTCTTCTGTGGAGATGATAGAAACGCGTCAACGATATTCCCCTTTGTTTTAAGATCGTTACCCATTAATAAGGCGACTGGCAAAACACTTTCACGTTTATGATATGACGGTGCAATGTAAGTCGTTGCAACATGAAAGTGCCAAGTTTGATTGGTGTCTTTTGACGATAATCGCTGGGGGATGCTATATTTACGCGGGTTCTAATTAGAGCAATTAACAGAAGATATGAACAAACGTTTAGGTTAGATAATTATTTTAGCAATGATATTTCGTTGGACTCTTTCGTGTTATTAGATAATTGTCTGGTAGTTTTAGTAGTTTGATTTGAACGGATTTTATGTTTCGTTTGTTGCTGACTTTATGGGGTGAACATATAGTTGCTACCATATAAATTGTAGCATAATACAAACAGCAAATTTATAAAAGATTACTATGTAACAAAAATTGATTATCATTTTATGAAACTATAAGACAAGTCAAATTGAACAAAATCAATTATGAGACAAGAATTGAATGTCATAAGACTGACTCAAATCGAATTAAACCGAAGTGAATCAAATTAAGTCCAGTTGAATCAAGTCACTTTCAAATAAATAATACTTAAGCACGTCGAAATGAACGTAACTAAATAAAAGAAAATGCAGTTGAACTAAGCCTACAGGAAACAGATTGTATCAAGCTAAATCGTATTAAGTCAAAACAGGTAGAACCGCGTCGAACTCGATCAGGATAGACCTCGACGTCACCTAAAATCAGATTGATTGAATTAGGTCACCTAAAATCGAATATTGGTCCAATATAACGAATATTAATATTAGATGAAAGCAAATGGAATTAACTGTATTTGATACAGAACGAAATCAAATCGAATTAATTATATTTGATGTAGAAGAAAATCAAAACGAATTAATTGTATTTGATGTAGAAGGAAATCAAATCGAATTAACTATACTTTACGTAAAAGGAAATCAAATCGAATTAACTATACTTGATGCAGAAGAAAATCAAATGGAATTAACTATACTTGATGTGGAAGGAAATCGAATCGAATTAACTATACTTGCCGCAGAAAGAAATCAAATCAAATTAACTATACTTGCCTCAGAACGAAATCGAATTGAATCAATTAAAAATAAAAAATAAAAGTTAAAAAGGAAAGTAATTAAAGTAAGAATCATAATCGCGAAATCGCGTCTAGGTTAGGAGAAAAATAACTAGGATATTCGGTGTCGTATTGGTCGATGCACGTTGCGCATGCGCATGCGCGATTGCATGCGTGCAAGTCGGACGTTGAGTGATGATATCAAGTATATATACGACTGACTGTGTGTCACGGGTCATCGGCCCTCGGATATTCTTGGCAATTCTCTCTCTCTCCCTCTTTCTCCCTCGTTCGCTTGATTTCTCCTCCTCCTTCTCCACCACCTCCTTTCTCTCTCTGTCGTTTTTTTTCCTATCTCTCCCTCTGTGTTCGACGACCCTCCCGAGAGGCTCGTTCGCTCCCCTCGCTATCTCTCGTCTTCCCTCTCGTTCCCGGACTCGAGACTTCTTCTCTTCCGTTGTCGTTTCTCGCCCCTTACGCCTAGCCTGTGCCTTTCGCCCGTTCGATTGGCTTCTAATAGTCGAGCTGCAATCTCGGTACATCCTGTCTCTCCGGACGCCGCTAACGAGAAAAATGGGGTGCGAGCACCGGGGGGATCGTCGCTCGATTCTTCCCTGCGACGCCATTTGTTTCCGAGTATTCCGAGCTCGATTCTTCTTCAAGGTACACGATCATAATTACTCCAACAAAGAATTAACTCTCTGACAAAATTCGCACACTCTATCGTGGACTAGATCGACATATAGACGGGAAATATACTTTTCTCTTTGTAAGGAGGAGAAAATGGGGGTGGGAACTGTGCTATATGTATATTTCATAGATCAATTTTCACATCACTCGTTACTCGACACCTTTCGTTCTATTTACGATATAGTGCTTTCTACTAGTCTACTTGCACTTCATGATCTGAATTATGTATCCAAGAACATATGAGCTAAACCCAAATTTATAAAGGATCAAACTTAACCCTGATACTATGATTTATTTGTCAGGTGCATTAGAACTGACTAATCACAGCCTCAATATTAAAATAGACAAAGAAAATTGTAATGTTATGTCAATTTGATATTAATTGACTATGCAGCTAAAGTAAGAGTCAGACTCTTCACGATGTGCGTCTTGTGTGCGTCACAGAGTTAGACTCTTCACGATGTGCGTCATGAGTGCGTCACGAGTCAGACTCTTCACGATGTGCGTCATGAGTGCGTCACAAGGTTAGACTCTTCATGATGTGCGTCATGAGTGCGTCACAAGTTAGACTCTTCACGATGTGCGTCTTGTGTGCGTCACAAAGTTAGACTCTTCACGATGTGCGTCATGAGTGCGTCACGAGTCAGATCTCTTCACGATGTGCGTCTTGTGTGCGTCACAAAGTTAGACTCTTCACGATGTGCGTCTTGTGTGCGTCACAAAGTTAGACTCTTCACGATGTGCGTCTTGTGTGCGTCACAAAGTTAGACTCTTCACGATGTGCGTCTTGTGTGCGTCACAAAGTTAGACTCTTCACGATGTGCGTCTTGTGTGCGTCACAAAGTTAGACTCTTCACGATGTGCGTCTTGTGTGCGTCACAAAGTTAGACTCTTCACGATGTGCGTCTTGTGTGCGTCACAAAGTTAGACTCTTCACGATGTGCGTCTTGTGTGCGTCACAAAGTTAGACTCTTCACGATGTGCGTCATGAGTGCGTCACGAGTCAGATTCTTCATGATGTGCGTCATGAGTGCGTCAAGAGTCAGACTCTTCATGAAGTGCGTCATAAGTGCGTCACCAGTCAGACTCTTTACGACATGCGTCATGAGTGCGTCACCAGTCAGACTCTTTACGATATGCGTCATGAGTGCGTCAAGAGTCAGACTGTCCAACGTGCCTCATAATTTTCAACTCATCACTCCATATACTCTCAAAAGTCGACAATTAACAAGTCATCAAATTAGTATGGAGGTAAGGTAGATCTCAGAGCCTTGAAACGGGCAACAAGTGAATTATTTATCAAGTTTCAGTAATTGCACAAGGAGTGTTGCAGTGAAAGGGTTAAGTGGCATTTTCTCAACACTCATTACTCCTCATTAAACCTTGCCCAATGGCCAGCCTCTAACCTTCCTAAACATCCTCATCAAGCGAACGACTACCGTTCAACCTCGCTTTCGCAATCAAAAATTACAACAGCTGACTGGAAACGAGATAATCAGCCGGGTCCATTATACAGGATGAAACGTGATGTACAACTCGTGTACGATTCAACTTTATGTGATGTCCACGTGTAGACGTCTACCT